TCCCCATTCTGCCTCCCCTCAGCCCCTGGCAACCCCCATTCTACTTTCTGTCTCTGTGAATTTGCCTTCTTGAGGTACCTCATGTAAGTGGGATCCCATGACATTTGTCCTTTTGTGTCTGAATCATTCCCCAGCATCCATTTCTCCCAGGTCTAAGGTAGCTCTGGGCAGGGAAAATCTGAACCACTTCGTCGACTGGTTGAGTTACACTTCATACATCAAATGCGTTCCAAATAGCAAACGAGCATCCAAAATAGCAAACCACCGCAGATTTGAGCACGTGATCACACATCTCTGACTGTTCCAGCAGAAGCCCCACATCCCCTCATCCAGAAATGGTAACAGCCACCTCATTTATCCATTCAGACCGCCCTGTCATGCCATTTAATTCCTTCAGGGACTCCGGCTCAACTCCGTGGCACGGTACACAGAGCACCACAAACTGGCCACGGCCTGTTTTCTCCATTGCATTTCCAGCTCCCTTTGCTCCCCGGGATGGGGCTGCATCTTTCTCATTCTGTCTTTTCCTATGCTGTTCTGTCTGGAGGTAGAATACAACTCGGCACCTCCCCTGATCACGCCTGATCTCCAGCCAAGCAGAACATACGACCCCCTTCCCTCTCCGAGTGCCCCCAGTTAGTGGGGTCATATTTCACACACCTCTGTCTCTCATATCCTAGCACCCAGCATCGTGCTCGGCACACACTAATGCTTAGCAAGTGCTAGTTGAGAGAGTCAGACCTATGGCGTCACCTCCTCCCACAGCTGCGGGGAACGCTGCTTTCCTTCCCAACCTCCAATAACTGGACTCATTCACAATAACCCGTCACAGAGACCACATGGTGGGCGACTGTTCGCGTCTTGTTCATTCATTCAGTCTTTACTGCATGCTCGCTCTCTGTCCACCTGTCTCAGGCTGCTGGTTCTTTCCTACCCGTGTTTTTCTCTCCACGTGTGCTCCAGTCAACGCGGCCCGTCTCCTTCCGCAGACCCTCGTTCCTGTTCCCCAGAAACCCAGCCTTACACACGCGGAGCTGGTCTTGGCACTGACTGCAGCCCTTAAGCCCTCATCCCTGTGAGTGGGTTGGGGCACCTGGGTCAGATGCCCACTCTGGTCCGACCGGCTGTGGCCAGGTGGGACTGGCTAACGCGCCCTTTTAGAGGACTCGCGTGAGTGGGCGGCAGTTCCAAAGAAGGGGGCTTGGGCTGAGCCCCCAGAGACGTGTCCTGTTAGAATATTCTTCACTCCCCTGGACAGGCCTCAACATGCCCCTCCCCTAGTGACATCCTTCTCTACCGTGACACATTCTATTCTGGAAAACATCCTTTTGCGCACACATGTGAAAAAGCTGCCCCAAATTGGATGACTTACCTTCTCTCCGTTGCTACTTGCTGGAGTTCTTGCTTCCTTCTCTTTAATCCTCTCCAAATTGCTACGTAGTCTTTCTCTATTACCTTGAATTTTTGTGAGGCCAAAACAGTTCCTGAAGTTTCTCTTTTATGTGCCAGGGAACCTCCTCCTTCCTTGGCCGCAGCTGAGCTGGGTGGATCGTGCTGCCGTCAACGTGTAGGGCCCATCACCTTTTGTCCTTTTAGGGATTCTCTGGGGCATCTGCCTAAAATTGCTGAGAGAAACCCAGGAGTTTCTTCTTGTGGAATGTGTAGACTCTCAAAGAAGCATTTTGGAAATTTGGAGGTGGGGCAGAATTTGTAGTTGTCACAAAAATTGGGGGTACAACTGGAATATGGTGGCAGGGGCTACACAGACGTAGCGCAAATTTTGAGACAGGCACAAGAAACATCCTGCTGGGCTCACGCGGGGCGGGGATTCTCTGTGTGGGCAGCATCAGCGTCACCTGGGGCCTGATTAGAAATGCAAATTCTTGGGCTCCATCCCAAAACCTGTGGTGGCTTTATCCGTGGCAACTTGGCTAGGTGGAACCGCATTCCCCAGAATTCACTTCCTTCTATGCTTGCTGGCAGAGTAGACCACAAGAGACATTTTCCAGCAAATTTGGCGGGCGGAGGCGAAGTGGCCGCCATGCTGTGCGTGCGCGCCGGGAGCATGCGCACTTGTGCCTCTCAGCCGCCGCCGCGTGCCAGCTGCGGCTGCACAGCGCTCCCCCGCCGCTCCTGGCCTCGCCTGCTCCTGGGCCAGGGCACGTTTGGCTCCGTGCTGGGGGGGTGCTGCTTCCTCAAGATTGGAAACAGCTGGTCCTTGCTCGCCACACTCTGCCTCCATCTTCCCTTCCCAGCTACCTGCCCAGGGTTCTCGC